CAGGCGCTGCATAATCAACTAGGGAACGAACGGCGTGTATGTAAAACATTCTCAACACTTTGTGTCCCGCTCCTAGACGGGGCCCTGTGATTGCTCTCATTATATTTAGTCGTGATTTTGCTTTCCCCTTCACATACTGAATTTGCTTATTGAATGTCATTTTAGAATCTATCGACACTCCGAGATATTGATATTGTGTAACCCACCAAAGGTTAATGTCTTGAATGCGTAGGTGCCTGTCTGGAGTGTTGCCACCTAGTCTCATTGCCTTAGACTTCTGTGCAGATATTTTTACCCCTAAAACGCTGCATTTAGATGTTACTTTATCTAATGCACCTTGTGCTTTATTTAGAAGTGAAGGACCTGTAATGACTAATGCTATATCATCAGCATAGCTTAGCAATTTAACCTCTTTTTGCAAATGTCATGGTAACAAGGTTTTCCATAAAGATGTTAAAAAGACTAGGACTGAGGACTCCTCCTTGTGGAGTCCCATTCTCATGCAAGTGGTAGTCCGACAATTGTCCTTGCAACTTCACTCTGGCATACCTGTGACTTAGGTAATCTTGAATCCATGCTAGCATTTTTCCCTTTACACCTTTTTTAACTAAGGTGTGTAATATTGTTTGCGGGCTTGCAAGTTCGAATGCTTTTTCTAGATCAAGGAAGATCACTATAGCTGGACCAGAGTTAACTGTTTCTAGTAATGTTGCCATGCAGTTTGCAGCACCTACTCCTCTAGTGAAGCCAAATATGTCTTTATGCTAAGGTGTGTAATATTGTTTGCACCACCTTTTTTGGCTCTGCTTAGTTCCTGTTCGGTGAAGGGACAGTCACATTCGAAATTTATAGCTATGCCCTCATGAATGACTGTCATCCTCTCTTGTTTTAATTGTTCTTGCTGCCTTCGGACCATTGCAGGAAGATGATATGAAGCTGTTCTTTCTGCAAATGGAGAGCAAGTCTCTCAGCCTCCTGCAATGGTTGAATACATGCCTGTGGTCGGGCTGGGCCTGTGGTCGGGTTGGTCGACCTGATAGTTTTAATCTGACCCCATATCTTGCCAAGACTACTATGTTCATTTAGAGTTTGACACCACTCAAACCATCTTGCCTCCTTTACTTCTCTAGAAACTCGTCTTGCTTCAGATATCACCGCTCTTAGCAGAGTTCTTCCTTCTGGTGTGGGGTTTCTCTTTAGATGTTTTCTGAAGATGTTGACTCTGTGGTTCTGATCTTTAACTTCATTACTATAGAACAAATAGTTCTTTCGTTTTGTGTTTCCTGTGATAATGATTGGAATAGCTTTGTTTGCAGCAGCTGCAACGGCTTCCTGCAGATTGGTCTCGTGTATGTTCAAATCCTCAGGTGGCGTGTATGTTGCATACCATTTTTCAAGTTCTTCTTGGTATATATTCCAATTGGCCTTTCTTAAATTCCACCTGGGTTGTGCAGGTGGTGTAGGAGGTCGTTCTATGTTTAGTGTTGTGACAGTAGCATAGTGGCCACTGGTGATCACCGGGTCTACTTCCCACTTCGCCTGATGCTTGAGTGCTGTTGAGATTAATGTAAGATCAAGGGAACCTCCTAGAATGTGAGTGGGTTCCCCAGTGTTGAGAAGTGTAATCTCAGGTACTTCTCGCAGAGCTGCAGCTAAATGGCGCACATCTGCATTGGCTGGCTCAGTCGCACCTAACTCTGGATGAGCATTAAAATCCTCAGCAATAATTACATTTTCCTGCGCGGCCAAGGCAAGCACTGCCTCTGCTTCTAGTTTACGTCTAGGGGGCTTGTAAACGTTGTATATGAGGAGCTCAATATTAGCCATATTCACAAGTGGTTAGGCACCATTCCTCCCCCCCCCCGTCCTATCCCTAAGAATTTGTAGTCTTGCTCCGTCTAATGATGTCATGAGCTGTCTATGACAGCCGCCAGGCGTGTCAAACAAAGGGAAGGAATTATCAGGGGGAAAGCACCAAGCCATTACGACTATATAGCACTGGGAAGGGATCAGGATAAGGATTAGGGATGGGACAGAGGGAAGGAATGGTGCCCAACCACTTGTGGTGGACGGTCGGGGATTGAACGCCGACCTGCATGAAGCTAGACCGTCACTCTACCGTCCAGCCCAAGTGGTTGAGTAGTATAGTCATAATGGCTCCCTACCCTTCACCTTCCCTACCCTTCACCACCTTCCCTACCCTCCACCACCTACCCTACCCTTCACCACCTTCCCTACCCTTCACCACCTTCCCTACCCTTCACCACCTTCCCTACCCTTCACCTTCACAACCCTTCACCACCTTCCCTACCCTCCACCACCTTCCCTACCCTTCACCTTCACTACCCTTCACCACCTTCCCTACCCTCCACCACCTTCCCTACCCTTCACCACCTTCCCTACCCTTCACCACCTTCCCTACCCTTCACCTTCACAACCCTTCACCACCTTCCCTACCCTTCACCACCTTCCCTACCCTTCACCACCTTCCCTACCCTTCACCACCTTCCCTACCCTTCACCACCTTCCCTACTCCTTCACCACCTTCCCTACCCTTCACCACCTTCCCTACCCTCCACCACCTTCCCTACCCTTCACCTTCACTACCCTTCACCACCTTCCCTACCCTTCACCACCTTCCCTACCCTTCACCACCTTCCCTACCCTTCACCACCTTCACTACCCTTCACTGCCTTCCCTACCCTCCACCACCTTCCCTACCCTCCACCACCTGCCCTACCCTCCACCACCTTCCCTACCCTTCACCACCTTCCCTACCCTTCACCACCTTCCCTACCCTTCACCACCTTCCCTACCCTTCACCACCTTCCCTACCCTTCACCACCTTCCCTACCCTTCACCACCTTCCCTACCCTTCACCACCTGCCCTACCCTTCACCACCTGCCCTACCTTCCCTACCCTTCACCACCTTCCCTACCCTTCACCACCTTCCCTACCCTTCACCACCTTCCCTACCCTTCACCACCTTCCCTACCTTTCACCACCTACCCTTCACCACCTACCCTACCCTTCACCACCTTCCCCTACCCTTCACCACCTACCTTCAAGTCAAAGATGTCCGCCACTCTTGGGTCATCGCCCATTAATACTCTATTCTTTAACATTACCAATCAAACCTTCTATGTACTTCATTTACCATATTCCCCCGTGCATGCTTTTTGATAGAGTCCATTGCAGTCGGATGTGCAGCAATACCAACAGCAAAGTGCTGGACCACAGTTATGCACAGACTCCAACAATGCCGGGGATGACCACGAGCAATCAGTGCAGTCCGATGTGCAGCGACACGACTTGCGAGGTGGAGAACATGGACGTCGCTTCCGAAGAGGAGTTCTGGTAGAACAGGCAACACCAACCGAAACTGTCGTCTGGCCATTACGAATACTGCAGTGCAACATACAAGGTCTTGGAGATAAAAACCACACTCTTCAGGAGGCTGCAATCAGCATGAAGCAGATATAATCATGTTGGAAGAAACTTTTTCCCGGCCACGAAGTCCTTCAGATTAGCTGGATATCAGCACTATGTTATACCGTATGAGCAGAGGAGACAAAGAGGGTTAATGACCCTAGTCAGGAACACCATAACCCAGCAAGACCCAGTTTCATGTGGGGATGGAGTAGAGGTATTAGCAGTAACAGTGAATATGGCTAATATTGGGCTCCTTATATACAACGTCTACAAGCCCCCTAGACGTAAACTAGAAGCAGAGGCAGTGCTTGCCTTGGCCACGCTGGAAAATATAATTATTGCTGGGGATTTTAATGCTCATCATCAAGAGTTAGGTGCGACTGGGCCAGCCAGTACAGATGGGCGCCATTTAGCTGCAGCTCTGCGAGAAGTACCTGAGATTACACTTCTCAACACTGAGGAACCCACTCACATTCTAGGAGGTTCCCTTGATCTTACATTACTTACCTAGTTAGGCCTGGTTGAGAAGGCACTTCGAGATCTCATGTGTGCGTGTGTGTGTGTGTGTTGCCGTAGTTGCCCCTGTCACTCAACAACTTGGGTGGACGTCCCTAGGTGTTGCAACATTTCTTATGCTCGCTGGGAGGGTGTTGAACAACCGCCGACCTCTGATGTTTATACAGTGTTCTCTGATTTTGCCTTTGGCAGAATCATCTAAATGTCTCAATTTGCCCAGTAGCTTAGCATCATCAGCAAACATGTTCCTATGATTCCGTATTGAAGAATGAACATTGTTCGCCAGCATTCTACACGTGTCAAAAGTTCTAATTATGTTTGTCTCATGTTTTAACTACCACGCAGTTCAACTACACGGGTTTGTAATATAGTGTGTTCTCTCTTACCATATTTGTAGATTGAAAAAATCTGCTAAGATTCCTGTACATAAAGGTGTCTGAAAAATAAAAATTCTATACATATTGTGAGATTCCAACCTAACTGTGAGACTGTGAGATTCCAACCTAATTATTTTAGATATATCTCTGATATCAAGCTGTTAATGTTGCCTTCAAACACGGTAATTGTGTTTTAACTTTCACGTCAAAACAACAAAATGGGAAAAACATATAAAATAATATTTTATATCATTTTCCTTGTGATTTTGGTCGGTTGCGTTTGGATATTAAGTTTAGAGCAGTTAACAGACGACCACTATGAATGTCTCTACAACCAGGCTGTTTCGTTGTGGAAAGCCAGAAGACCAAGTGGCCTGAATGTTCTCTACAGGCACATCGCGGCCAAGTTGAACCTGTAGTCTTCGCAGCCCACCTGCGACTCCTGGCCTCTTATTAGTGTGGAAAACGACCGCGTTCAGAAGTGGATGCCGCTATTTGGGTAGATTATCAAACGTAAAGACACACTGCGGAAAGTAGTAATTCTCGAAAAGTTTGTACAGTGCCACGGTGAGATACCTGCCAGCGCCCCCAACATGGATTTGTCTGTTTTGTTACTCGTGGCTGTGTTGGCGGCCATGTTGATTTTTGTCAGAGAATGGTTGCAGCAAACGGCATCAACCGGCGGCCACACCACCGCAGTCGGCGGCGGCGACACCACCGCAGTCGGCGGCGGCGACACCACCGCAGTCGGCGGCGGCGACACCACCGCAGTCGGCGGCGGCGACACCACCGCAGTCGGCGGCGGCGACACCACCGCAGTCGGCGGCGGCGACACCACCGCAGTCGGCGGCGGCGACACCACCGCAGTCGGCGGCGGCGACACCACCGCAGTCGGCGGCGGCGACACCACCGCAGACGGCGACGGCGACACCACCGCAGACGGCGACGGCGCACACCACCGCAGACGGCGACGGCGACACCACCGCAGACGGCGACGGCGACACCACCGCAGACGGCGACGGCGACACCACCGCAGACGGCGACGGCGACACCACCGCAGACGGCGACGGCGACACCACCGCAGACGGCGACGGCGACACCACCGCAGACGGCGACGGCGACACCACCGCAGACGGCGACGGCGACACCACCGCAGACGGCGACGGCGACGGCGACACCACCGCAGACGGCGACGGCGACACCACCGCAGACGGCGACGGCGACACCACCGCAGACGGCGACGGCGACACCACCGCAGACGGCGACGGCGACACCACCGCAGTCGACGGCGGAGACACCACCGCAGACGGCGACGGCGACACCACCGCAGACGGCGACGGCGACGACACCACCGCAGTCGGCGGCGGCGACAACACCGCATTCGACGGCGGAGACACCACCGCAGACGGCGACGGCGACACCACCGCAGTCGGCGGCGGCGACAACACCGCAGTCGAAGGCGGCGACAACACCGACTCCGACGCCGACTTAGAGACGGTAACCATCGATGTAAAGGTGCCCCACTAAAACCGGTACCTCATAATAGGTAAACGCTAGCGGCGTCTGCGGCAGCTACAAGCCAAGTACGATGTGAGGATCACCGTCCCTCCGGAGGATGACGAGGAGGCAGACGTATAAGTGTCCGGGACTTTGGAAAATGTTAATGACGCTGTGAAGGACATTAAGAGCAGAACGGGCGAAACCACCGCAGTCGGTGGCAGCGACACCACCTCAGCCGACGGCGGCGACACCACCTCAGCCGACGGCGGCGACACCACCTCAGCCGACGGCGGCGACACCACCACCTCAGCCGACGGTGACGACACCACCACCTCAGCCGACGGTGACGACACCACCTCAGCCGACGGCGGCGACACCACCACCTCAGCCGACGGTGACGACACCACCACCTCAGCCGACGGTGACGACACCACCTCAGCCGACGGCGGCGACACCACCACAGTTGACGGTGGCGACAACACCGACTCCGACGCCGACTTAGAGACGGTAACCATCGATGTAAAGGTGCCCCACTAAAACCGGTACCTCATAATAGGTAAACGCTAGCGGCGTCTGCGGCAGCTACAAACCAAGTACGATGTGAGGATCACCATTCCTCCGGAGGATGACGAGGAGGCAGACGTATAAGTGTCCGGGACTTTGGAAAATGTTAATGACGCTGTGAAGGACATTAAGAGCAGAACGGTCGAAACCACCGCAGTCGGCGGCAGCGACACCACCTCAGCCGACGGCGGCGACACCACCTTAGCCAACGGCGGCGACACCACCTCAGCCGATGGCGGCGACACCACCACCTCAGCCGACGGCGTTGACACCACCACCTCAGCCGACGGCGGCAACACCAGCACCTCAACCGACGGCGGCGACACCACCACCTCAGCCGACGGTGGCGACAACACCGACTCCGACGCCGACTTAGAGACGGTAACCATCGGTGTAAAGGTGCCCCACTAAAACCGGCACCTCATAATAGGTAAACGCTAGCGGCGTCTGCGGCAGCTACAAACCAAGTACGATGTGAGGATCACCGTCCCTCCGGAGGATGACGAGGAGGCAGACGTATAAGTGTCCGGGTCTTTGGAAAATGTTAATGACGCTGTGAAGGACATTAAGAGCAGAACGGGCGACACCAGCGCAGTCGGCGGCGGCGAAACCACCGCAGAACCCCCTGAACCCCTTGACAGTACCCCCTGAACCCCTTGACAGTACCCTCTGAACCCCTTGACAGTACCCCCTGAACCCCTTGACAGTACCCTCTGAACCCCTTGACAGTACCCCCTAACCCCCTGACAGTCCCCCATGAACCCCTTGACAGTACCCCCTGAACCCCTTGACAGTACCCCCTAACCCCCTGACAGTACCCCCTGAACCCCCCTGACATTACCCCCTGAACCACCCCTGACAGTACCAAAAGGCAGCCCCTTAGTGCCTTCTTTGTTACTTTGTGTGTGTGTGTGTGTATGATGGGTAAGGAAAGTGGTGAAGGGTTGGGTAGGTGAAGGGTAGGGAAGGTGGTGAAGGGTAGGGAAGGTGGTGAAGGATGTAAATGTCTGTTCTTGTGTAAATGCCTACATTTCTTCTCTTAGTTGCAAGTTTTGCAGCTTCATCTGCAATGTCGTTTCCTTTTATTCCCACATGACTTGGCACCCAGTTGATAAGTACTCTACGGCCTTGACGTTTGAGTATTTGCATTAATGATATGACATTTGTGATCAGATGGATGTTATCACATATGTGTTCTTGTTGCAAGGTTTCAATGGCAGTTCTTGAATCTGTATGTATGATAACATGTTGTCGGTGTTCAGCAAGAGCATGTTCCAAAGCCTTTTGAATGGCTAGTATCTCTGTAAAGTTGAACACCCATTGGAGAGTCTCCAACTATTTACAGAGTTTCTTGCTTTAACTGCAGCTCCGGTTTCTTGTCCCTGCTGCTCTACTGATGACATACTTCTGTGAAGTATGTGAAGCTTTCGGATGCCAACTTTGCTTCTATATGCATCTGTGCAATATTACATGGCAGATGAGAATTAGTCTGGTTATTTTTTCCTTCAAGAGCCATAATCTTAAAGTCTGCTGGTAGCGATTCCCAAGGGGCTTGCATAACAAAGTCTGCATAACAGAGTATTTCGTCGACACCCCTCTAGGTGATTGTGTTTGTTATATCAAATGTATTAATGGTGTTACCTCACAATGGGTCCACCTGTTGCTATTGGAGGCTGTTCTGTCCCGAGTTAGTGCTCCAGTGATTATATCTTTAAGTGAACTGATTCTAGGTCTAGTCAATATCTTGGTCAGCATGCACGCAGCAATCCCTTTTTATCCTTATTTCAATCGACGTTAGTTTGGTTTCTATTCTTAGGTTCAGTATTTTAGTCCTTCTGGGAGCCCCTGTTATGACTCGCATTGCATCATTTTGAATAACCTCAACATTTGTCCACTGACCAGGAGAAAGAGTGAGTAAGGCAGACGCTGCATAATCAACTAGGGAACGAACGGTGTGTGTGTAAAACATTCTTAACACTCTGTGTCCCGCTCCTAGACGGGGCCCTGTGATTGCTCTCATTATATTCAGTCGTGAATTTGCTTTCCCCTTCACATACTGAATTTGCTTGTTGAATGTCATTTTAGAATCTATCCACACTCCGAGATATTGATATTGTGTAACCCACCAAAGGTTAATGTCTTGAATGCGTAGGTGCCTGTCTGGAGTGTTGCCACCTAGTCTCATTGCCTTAGACTTCTGTGCAGATACTTTTACCCCTAAAACGCTGCATTTAGATGTTACTTTATCTAATGCACCTTGTGCTTTATTTAGAAGTGAAGGACCTGTAACGACTAATGCTATATCATCAGCATAGCTTAGCAATTTAACCTCTTTTGCAAATGTCATGGTAACAAGGTTTTCCATAAAGATGTTAAAAAGACTAGGACTGAGGACTCTTCCTTGTGGAGTCCCATTCTCATGCAGGTGGTAGTCCGACACTTGTCCTTGCAACTTTACTCTGGCATACCTGTGACTTATGTAATCTTGAATCCATGCTAGCATTTTTCCCTTTACACCTTTTTTAACTAAAGTGTATAAAATTGCTTGCGGGCTTGCAAGTTCGAATGCTTTTTCTAGATCAAGGAAGATCACTATAGCTGGACCTGAGTTAACTGTTCCTAGTAATGTTGCTATGCAGTTTGCAGTACCTACTCCTCTAGTGAAGCCAAATATGTGTTTATGAAGGTCTCCAGTCTTCCACAGTAGCCTATTTAAGACCATCCGTTCTGCAGCTTTACTAATGCATGATGTTAATAAAATGGGTCTCTAATTGCCAGGTTCTTTCGGCTTAGGAATCGGTATGATGTCTGCTTTCTTCCAAGAGGTCGGTAGTTTGCCTTGCTGCCAAGATGCATTGATGATGTCCAATATTTCTTGTTCTCCAGCAGGACCTGCATCTTCTTGAGGTTATCTTGAAATGATTTCGGGGCTTTTAGTGTCCCCGCGGCCCAGTCCTCGACCAGGCCTCCACCCCCAGGAAGCAGCCCGTGACAGCTGACTAACTCCCAAGTACTTATTTACTGCTAGGTAACAGGGGCATTCAGGGTGAAAGAAACTTTGCCCATTTGTTTCTGCCTCGTGCAGGAATCGAACCCGCGCCACAGAATTACGAGTCCTGCGAGCTATCCACCAGGCTACGAGGCCCCTTGGCCTGTGCTGTGCATGTGCGATCATTGAGTATGTAATGTTATCAGCACCTGGTGCAGTGTCCTTACCACCTTTCTTGGCTCTGATTAGTTCTTGTGTGGTGAAGGGACAGTCACATTCGTCATTTATAGCTATGCTCTCACGAATGGCTGTCAACTTCATTTGTTTTAATTGTTCGTGCTGTCTTCGGACCATTGCAGGAAGCTGACATGAAGCTGTTCTTTCTGCAAATTGGAGAGCAAGTCTCTCAGCCTCCTGCAATGGTTTAATACATGCCTGTGGTCGGGCTGGTCGATCTGATAGTTTTAATCTGACCCCATATCTTGCCAAGACTACTATGTTCATTTAGAGTTTGACACCACTCAAACCATCTTGACTCCTTTACTTCTCTAGAAACTCGTCTTGCCTCAGATATCGCCGCTCTTAGCAGAGTTCTTCCTTCTGGTGTGGGGTTTCTCTTTAGATGTTTTCTGAAGATGTTGACTCTGTGGTTCTGATCTTTAACTTCATTACTATAGAACAAATAGTTCTTTCGTTTTGTGTTTCCTGTGATAATGATTGGAATAGCTTTGTTTGCAGCAGCTGCAACGGCTTCCTGCAGATTGGTCTCGTGTATGTTCAAATCCTCAGGTGGCGTGTACGTTGCATACCATTTTTCAAGTTCTTCTTGGTATATATTCCAATTGGCCTTTCTTAAATTCCACCTGGGTTGTGCAGGTGGTGTAGGAGGTCGCTCTATGTTTAGTGTTGTGACAGTAGCATAGTGGCCACTGATCACCGGGTCTACTTCCCACTTCGCCTGATGCTTGAGTGCTGTTGAGATTAATGTAAGATCAAGGGATCCTCCTAGAATGTGAGTGGGTTCCCCAGTGTTGAGAAGTGTAATCTCAGGTACTTCTCGCAGACCTGCAGCTATATGGAGCCCATCTGCATTGGCTGGCCCAGTCGCACCTAACTCTTGATGATGAGCATTAAAATCCCCAGCAATAATTACATGTTCCAGCGTGGCCAAGGCAAGCACTGCCTCTGCTTCTAGTTTACGTCTAGGGGCCTTGTAGACGTTGTATATGAGGAGCTCAATATTAGCCATATTCACAAGTGGTTAGGCACCATTCCTCCCCCCCCCCGTCCTATCCCTAAGAATTTGTAGTCTTGCTCCGTCTAATGATGTCATGAGCTGTCTATGACAGCCGCCAGGCGTGTCAAACAAAGGGAAGGAATTATCAGGGGGAAAGCACCAAGCCATTATGACTATATAGCACTGGGAAGGGATCAGGATAAGGATTAGGGATGGGACAGAGGGAAGGAATGGTGCCCAACCACTTGTGGTGGACGGTCGGGGATTGAACGCCGACCTGCATGAAGCTAGACCGTCACTCTACCGTCCAGCCCAAGTGGTTGAGTAGTATAGTCATAATGGCTCCCTACCCTTCACCACCTTCCCTACCCTTCACCACCTTCCCTACCCTTCACCACCTTCCCTACCCTTCACCTTCACTACCCTTCACCACCTTCCCTACCCTCCACCACCTTCCCTACCCTTCACCACCTTCCCTACCCTTCACCACCTTCCCTACCCTTCACCTTCACAACCCTTCACCACCTTCCCTACCCTTCACCACCTTCCCTACCCTTCACCACCTTCCCTACCCTTCACCACCTTCCCTACCCTTCACCACCTTCCCTACCCTTCACCACCTTCCCTACCCTTCACCTTCACTACCCTTCACCACCTTCCCTACCCTTCACCACCTTCCCTACCCTTCACCACCTTCCCTACCCTTCACCACCTTCACTACCCTTCACCACCTTCACTACCCTTCACTGCCTTCCCTACCCTCCACCACCTTCCCTACCCTCCACCACCTGCCCTACCCTCCACCACCTTCCCTACCCTTCACCACCTTCCCTACCCTTCACCACCTTCCCTACCCTTCACCACCTTCCCTACCCTTCACCACCTGCCCTACCCTCCACCACCTTCCCTACCCTTCACCACCTGCCCTACCCTCCACCACCTTCCCTACCCTTCACCACCTTCCCTACCCTTCACCACCTTCCCTACCCTTCACCACCTTCCCTACCTTTCACCACCTACCCTACCCTTCACCACCTACCCTTCACCACCTTCCCTACCCTTCACCACCTACCCTTCACCACCTTCCCCTACCCTTCACCACCTACCCCTACCCTTCACCACCTACCCTACCCTTCACCACCTACCCTCAAGTCAAAGATGGCGTCCGCCACTCTTGGGTCATCGCCCATTAATACTCTATTCTTTAACATTACCAATCCAACCTTCTATGTACTTCATTTACCATATTCCCCCGTGCATGCTTTTTGATAGAGTCCATTGCAGTCGGATGTGCAGCAATACCAACAGCAAAGTGCTGGACCACAGTTATGCACAGACTCCAACAATGCCGGGGATGACCACGAGCAATCAGTGCAGTCCGATGTGCAGCGACACGACTTGCGAGGTGGAGAACATGGACGTCGCTTCCGAAGAGGAGTTCTGGTAGAACAGGCAACACCAACCGAAACTGTCGTCTGGCCATTACGAATACTGCAGTGCAACATACAAGGTCTTGAGAGATAAAAACCACACTCTTCAGGAGGCTGCAATCAGCACGATAGCTGATATAATCGTGTTGGAAGAAACTCTTTTCCCGGTCACGAAGTCATTCAGATTAGCTGGATATCAGCACTATGTTATACCGTATGAACACGGGAGACAAAGAGGGTTAATGACCCTAGTCAGGAACACCATAACCCAGCAAGAAAACAGACCCAGTTGCATGTGGGGATGGAGTAGAGGTATTAGCAGTAACAGTGAATATGGCTAATATTGAGCTCCTCATATACGTTTACAAGCCCCCTAGACGTAAACTAGAAGCAGAGGCAGTGCTTGCCTTGGCCACGCTGGAACATGTAATTATTGCTGGGGATTTTAATGCTCATCATCAAGAGTTAGGTGCGACTGGGCCAGCCAATGCAGATGGGCTCCATATAGCTGCAGGTCTGCGAGAAGTACCTGAGATTACACTTCTCAACACTGGGGAACCCACTCACATTCTAGGAGGTTCCCTCGATCTTACATTGCTTACCTAGTTAGGCCTGGTTGAGAAGGCACTTCGAGATCTCATGTGTGCGTGTGTGTGTGTGTGTTGCCGTAGTTGCCCTGTCACTCAACACCTTGGGTGGACGTCCCTAGGTGTTGCAACATTTCTTATGCTCGCTGGGAGGGTGTTGAACAACCGCCGACCTCTGATGTTTATACAGTGTTCTCTGATTGTGCCTTTGGCAGAATCATCTAAATGTCTCAATTTGCCCAGTAGCTTAGCATCATCAGCAAACATGTTCCTATGATTCTGTATTGAAGAATGAACATTGTTCGCCAGCATTCTACACGTGTCAAAAGTTCTAATTATGTTTGTCTCATGTTTTAACTACCACGCAGTTCAACTACACGGGTTTGTAATATAGTGTGTTCTCTCTTACCATATTTGTAGATTGAAAAAATCTGCTAAGATTCCTGTACATAAAGGTGTCTGAAAAATAAAAATTCTATACATATTGTGAGATTCCAACCTAACTGTGAGACTGTGAGATTCCAACCTAATTATTTTAGATATATCTCTGATATCAAGCTGTTAATGCTACCTTCAAACACGGTAATTGTGTTTTAACTTTCACGTCAATACAACAAAATGGGAAAAACATATAAAATAATATTTTATATCATTTTCCTTGTGATTTTGGTCGGTTGCGTTTGGATATTAAGTTTAGAGCAGTTAACAGACGACCACTATGAACGTCTCTACAACCAGGCTGTTTCGTTGTGGAAAGCCAGAAGACCAAGTGGCCTGAATGTTCTCTACAGGCACATCGCGGCCAAGTTGAACCTGTAGTCTTCGCAGCCTACCTGCGACTCCTGGCCTCTTATTAGTGTGGAAAACGACCGCGTTCAGAAGTGGATGCCGCTATTTGGGTAGATTATCAAACGTAAAGACACACTGCGGAAAGTAGTAATTCTCGAAAAGTTTGTACGGTGCCACGGTGAGATACCTGCCAGCGCCCCCAACATGGATTTGTCTGTTTTGTTAGTCGGGGCGGCGTTGGCGGCCATGTTGATTTTTGTCAGAGAATGGTTGCAGCAAACTGCATCAACCGGCGGCGACACCACCGCAGTCGGCGGCGGCGACACCACCGCAGTCGGCGGCGGCGACACCACCGCAGTCGACGGCGGAGACACCACCGCAGTCGACGGCGGCGACACCACCGCAGTCGACGGCGGAGACACCACCGCAGTCGACGGCGGAGACACCACCGCAGTCGACGGCGGAGACACCACCGCAGACGGCGACGGCGACACAACCGCAGTCGGCGGCGGCGACACCACCGCAGTCGGCGGCGGCAACACCACCGCAGTCGGCGGCGGCAACACCACCGCAGTCGGCGGCGGCGACACCACCGCCGTCGGCGGCGGCAACACCACCGCAGTCGACGGCGGCGACACCACCGCAGACGGCGACGGCGACACCACCGCAGACGGCGACGGCGACACCACCGCAGTCGACGGCGGAGACACCACCGCAGACGGCGACGGCGACACCACCGCAGTCAACGGCGATGACACCACCGCAGTCAACGGCGATGACACCACCGCAGTCGGCGGCGGCGACAACACCGCAGTCGAAGGCGGCGACAACACCGACTCCGACGCTGACTTAGAGACGGTAACTATCGATGTAAACGTGCCCCACTAAAACCGCTACCTCATAATAGGTAAACGCTAGCGGCGTCTGCGGCAGCTACAAACCAAGTACGATGTGAGGATCACCGTCCCTCCGGAGGATGACGAGGAGGCAGACGTATAAGTGTCCGGGTCTTTGGAAAATGTTAATGACGCTGTGAAGGACATTAAGAGCAGAACGGGCGACACCACCGCAGTCGGCGGCGGCGACACCACCTCAGCCGACGGCGGCGACACCACCTCAGCCGACGGCGGCGACACCACCTCAGCCGACGGCGGCGACACCACCACCTCAGCCGACGGCGGCGACACCACCACCTCAGCCGACGGTGACGACACCACCACCTCAGCCGACGGCGGCGACACCACCACCTCAGCCGACGGTGACGACACCACCACCTCAGCCGACGGCGGCGACACCACCACCTCAGCCGACGGTGACGACACCACCACCTCAGCCGACGGCGGCGACACCACCTCAGCCGACGGCGGCGACACCACCACAGTTGATGGTGGCGACAACACCTCAGTCAACGGCACCACCTCAGTCGGCGGTGACACCACCTCAGTTGACAGTGGCGACAACACTGACTCCGACGCCGACTTAGAGACGGTAACCATCGGTGTAAAGGTGCCCCACTAAAACCGGTACCTCATAATAGGTAAACGCTAGCGGCGTCTGCGGCAGCTACAAACCAAGTACGATGTGAGGATCACCGTCCCTCCGGAGGATGACGAGGAGGCAGACGTATAAGTGTCCGGGTCTTTGGAAAATGTTAATGACGCTGTGAAGGACATTAAGAGCAGAACGGGCGACACCAGCGCAGTCGGCGGCGGCGAAACCACCGCAGAACCCCCTGAACCCCCTGACAGTACCCCCTGAACCCCTTGACAGTACCCTCTGAACCCCTTGACAGTACCCCCTAACCCCCTGACAGTACCCCCTGAACCCCTTGACAGTACCCTCTGAACCCCCTGAACCCCTTGACAGTACCCCCTAACCCCCTGACAGTAACCCCTGAACCCCCTGAACCCCTTGACAGTACCCCCTGAACCCCTTGACAGTACCCCCTAACCCCCTGACAGTACCCCCTGAACCCCCCTGACATTACCCCCTGAACCCCCCTGACAGTACCAAAAGGCAGCCCCTTAGTGCCTTCTTTGTTACTTTGTGTGTGTGTGTGTATGATGGGTAAGGAAAGTGGTGAAGGGTAGGGTAGGTGAAGGGTAGGAAAGGTGGTGAAGGGTAGGGAAGGTGGTGAAGGGTAGGGAAGGTGGTGAAGGATGTAAATGTCTGTTCTTGTGTAAATGTCTACATTTCTTCTCTTAGTTGCAAGTTTTGCAGCTTCATCTGCAATGTCATTTCCTATTATTCCCACATGACTTGGCATCCAGTTGATAAGTACTCTACGGCCTTGACGTTTGAGTATTTGCATTAATGATATGACATTTGTGATCAGATGGATGTTATCACATATGTGTTCTTGTTGCAAGGTTTCAATGGCAGTTCTTGAATCTGTATGTATGATAACATGTTGTCGGTGTTCAGCAAGAACATGTTCCAAAGCCTTTTGAATGGCTAGTATCTCTGTAAAGTTGAACACCCATTGGAGAGTCTCCAACTATTTACAGTTTCTTGCTTTAACTGCAGCTCCGGTTTCTTGTCCCTGCTGCTCTACTGATGACATACTTCTGTGAAGTATATGAAGCTTTCGGATGCCAACTTTGCTTCTATATGCATCTGTGCAATATTACATGGCAGATGAGGATTAGTCTGGTTATTTTTTCCTTCAAGAGCCATAATCTTAAAGCCTGCTGGTAGCGATTCCCAAGGGGCTTGCATAACAAAGTCTGCATAACAGAGTATTTCATTGACACCCCTCTAGGTTATTGTGTTTGTTATATCAAATGTATTAATGGTGTTTACCTCACAATGGGTCCACCTGTTGCTATTGGAGGCTCTTCTGTCCTGAGTTAGTGCTCCAGTGATTATATCTTTAAGTGAACTGATTCTAGGTCTAGTCAATATTTTGGTCAGCATGCACGCAGCAATCCCTTTTACCCTTATTTCAATCGACGTTAGCTTGGTTTCTATTCTTAGGTTCAGTATTTTAGTCCTTCTGGGAGCCCCTGTTATGACTCGCATTGCATCATTTTGAATAACCTCAACATTTGTCCACTGACCAGGAGAAAGAGTGAGTAAGGCAGGCGCTGCATAATCAACTAGGGAACGAACGGCGTGTGTGTAAAACATTCTTAACACTTTGTGCCCCGGTCCTAGACGGGGCCCTGTGATTGCTCTCATTATATTCAGTCGTGAATTTGCTTTCCCCTTCACATACTGAATTTGCTTGTTGAATGTCATTTTAGAATCTATCCACACTCTGAGATATTGATATTGTGTAACCCATTGAAGGTTAATGTCTTGAATGCATTGGTGCCTGACTGGAGTGTTGCCACCTAGTCTCATTGCCTTAGAGTTCTGTGCAGATACTTTTACCCCTAAAACGCTGCATTTAGATGTTACTTTATCTAATGCACCTTGTGCTTTATTTAGAAGTGAAGGACCTGTAATGACTAATGTTATATCATCAGCATAGCTTAGCAATTTAACCTCTTTTGTAAATGTCATGGTAACAAGGTTTTCCATAAAGATGTTAAAAAGACTAGGACTGAGGACTCCTCCTTGTGGAGTCCCATTCTCGTGTAAGTGGTAGTCCGACACTTGTCCTTGCAACCTTACTCTGGCATACCTGTGACTTAGGTAATCTTGAATCCATGCTAACATTTTTCCCTTTACACCTTTTTTAACTGTGTGTAAAATTGCTTGCGGGCTTGCAAGTTCGAATGCTTTTTCTAGATCAAGGAAGATCACTATAGCTGGACCTGAGTTAACTGTTCCTAGTAATGTTGCTATGCAGTTTGCAGTACCTACTCCTCTAGTGAAGCCAAATGTGTTTATGAATGTCTCCAGTCTTCCACAGTAGCCTATTTAAGACCATCCGTTCTGCAGTTTTACTAATGCATGATGTTAATGAAATGGGTCTGTAATTGCCAGGTTCTTTCGGCTTTGGAATCTGTATGATGTCTGCTTTCTTCCAAGAGGTCGGTAATTTGCCTTGCTGCCAAGATGCATTGATGACGTCCAATATTCCTTGTTCTCCGGCAGGACCTGCATCTTCTTGAGGTTATCTTGAGATGATTTTGGGGCTTTTAGTGTCCCCGCGGCCCGGTCCTCGACCAGGCCTCCACCCCCAGGAAGCAGCCCGTGACAGCTGACTAACTCCCAAGTACCTATTTACTGCTAGGTAACAGGGGCATTCAGGGTGAAAGAAACTTTGCCCATTTGTTTCTGCCTCGTGCAGGAATCGAACCCGCGCCACAGAATTACGAGTCCTGGGAGCTATCCACCAGGCTACGAGGCCCCTTGGCCTGTGCTGTGCATGTGCGACCATTGAGTATGTAATGTTATCAGCACCTGGTGCAGTGTCCTTACCACCTTTTTTGGCTCTGATTAGTTCCTGTTTGGTGAAGGGACAGTCACATTCATCATTTATAGCTATGCTCTCATGAATGGCTGTCAACCTCTCTTGTTTTAATTGTTCTTGCTGCCTTCGGACCATTGCAGGAAGATGATATGAAGCAGTTCTTTCTGCAAATTGGAGAGCAAGTCTCTCAGCCTCCTGCAGTGGTTGAATACATGCCTGTGGCCGGGCTGGTCGACCTGATATAGTTTTAATCTGACCCCATATCTTGCCAAGACTACTATGTTCATTTAGAGTTTGACACCACTCAAACCATCTTGCCTCCTTTACTTCTCTAGAAACTCGTCTTGCTTCAGATATCACCGCTCTTAGCAGAGTTCTTCCTTCTGGTGTGGGGTTTCTCTTTAGATGTTTTCTGAAGATGTTGACTCTGTGGTTCTGATCTTTAACTTCATTACTATAGAACAAATAGTTCTTTCGTTTTGTGTTTCCTGTGATAATGATTGGAATAGCTTTGTTTGCAACAGCTGCAACGGCTTCCTGCAGATTGGTCTCGTGTATGTTCAAATCCTCAGGTGGCGTGTACGTTGCATACCATTTTTCAAGTTCTTCTTGGTATATATTCCAATTGGCCTTTCTTAAATTCCACCTGGGTTGTGCAGGTGGTGTAGGAGGTCGCTCTATGTTTAGTGTTGTGACAGTAGCATAGTGGCCACTGATCACCGGGTCTACTTCCCACTTCGCCTGATGCTTGAGTGCTGTTGAGATTAATGTAAGATCAAGGGATCCTCCTAGAATGTGAGTGGGTTCCCCAGTGTTGAGAAGTGTAATCTCAGGTACTTCTCGCAGACCTGCAGCTATATGGAGCCCATCTGCATTGGCTGGCCCAGTCGCACCTAACTCTTGATGATGAGCATTAAAATCCCCAGCAATAATTACATGTTCCAGCGTGGCCAAGGCAAGCACTGCCTCTGCTTCTAGTTTACGTCTAGGGGGCTTGTAAACGTTGTATATGAGGAGCTCAATATTAGCCATATTCACTGTTAATGCTAATACCTCTACTCCATCCCCACATGAAACTGGGTCTGTTTTCTTGCTGGGTTATGGTGTTCCTGACTAGGGTCATTAACCCTCTTTGTCTCCCCTGCTTATACGGTATAACATAGTGCTGATATCCAGCTAATCTGAATGACTTCGTGACCGGGAAAAGAGTTTCTTCCAACACGATTATATCAGCTATCGTGCTGATTGCAGCCTCCTGAAGAGTGTGGTTTTTATCTCTCAAGACCTTGTATGTTGCACTGCAGTATTCGTAATGGCCAGACGACAGTTTCGGTTGGTGTTGCCTGTTCTACCAGAACTCCTCTTCGGAAGCGACGTCCATGTTCTCCACCTCGCAAGTCGTGTCGCTGCACATCGGACTGCACTGATTGCTCGTGGTCATCCCCGGCATTGTTGGAGTCTGTGCATAACTGTGGTCCAGCACTTTGCTGTTGGTATTGCTGCACATCCGACTGCAATGGACTCTATCAAAAAGCATGCACGGGGGAATATGGTAAATGAAGTACATAGAAGGTTGGATTGGTAATGTTAAAGAATAGAGTATTAATGGGCGATGACCCAAGAGTGGCGGACGCCATCTTTGACTTGAGGGTAGGTGGTGAAGGGTAGGGTAGGTGGTGAAGGGTAGGGGAAGGTGGTGAAGGGTAGGGGTAGGTGGTGAAGGGTAGGGAAGGTGGTGAAGGGTAGGGAAGGTGGTGAAGGGTAGGTGGTGAAGGGTAGGTGGTGAAGGGTAGGGAAGGTGGTGAAGGGTAGGGAAGGTGGTGAAGGGTAGGTGGTGAAGGGTAGGGGTAGGTGGTGAAGGGTAGGGGTAGGAGGTGAAGGGTAGGGGTAGGAGGTGAAGGGTAGGGGTAGGAGGTGAAGGGTAGGGGAAGGTGGTGAAGGGTAGGGGAAGGTGGTGAAGGGTAGGGGAAGGTGGTGAAGGGTAGGGGAAGGTGGTGGAGGGTAGGGAAGGTGGTGAAGGGTAGGGAAGGTGGTGAAGGGTAGGGAAGGTGGTGAAGGGTAGGGAAGGTGGTGAATGTAGTGAAGGTGGTGAAGGGTAGGGAAGGTGGTGAAGGGTAGTGAAGGTGGTGAAGGGTAGGGAAGGTGGTGAAGGGTA